ACGATCTCGTGCTCTGATCTGTTGGTTGACCGGATGGATCAACACTATTGGACAAGTTTCTCTCGTATGCTCCATTGCGTTCGGTGGAGCATCCATGATCGCGGCATTTATTCAAGTAGCGACCGATGATAGCATTATTTTGGATTCTCGCCAAATCTACGGAATATGCCTTGTCATTTTGGTGGGTTAGCAGTGCTCAACACGTTTGTAGTTTTCAGTTATTCCTAATGGTTATCTTGTGCAGGTGGTGTACGGACTCATTAGTGGCCTTGCCACATCCATTATAGCGAGACTGCAAGTGTACTTTGCTACTGTCAACATACTCTCCTCAATTGCCATTGTCATTGCCCTGGTTGTGACCGCATCAAACAAAGGCAACGTCGTGCCAGCCAAGACTGCATTTTTTGAGGTGAGCACCCTGTTCGTCCCTCCCACTTTTTGGTACGATACTGATATAGAACTTTTCGATTTTTCAGTTCACAAACAACATCAGCTGGCTCAACAGCCCCGGCTTTACATTTCTCATCTCGACAACAGGTCCACTCTGGTGTTTGACGGGATACGACAGCGCGGCCCACATTTCGGAAGAAAGTTCCAATGCATCAACTGCCGCTCCCAGAGCCATCATATACGCCGTATCTGCGATGGGCGTACTGGGTTGGGCAACAATGCTCGCAATCTCTTTCGTTACGACGGACGTGACCAGTGTGGTTAACTCGACTTTGCCTTTGCCCATGGCCCAAATACTGTTGGACAACATGGGAAAAAAGGGAATGCTGGCCGCTTGGTTCTTTGTAACTTTGACACAGATCGTTGGTGGTATTCCTCAGGTTAGTTACAATAACCAGGTCATACCAGACGACCTTTTATCATCTTCAATTCCTGATATATCCTCTCCTTTTCATAGTGCATTGACGCATCGCGAGCAGTATACGCATTCTCCCGAGATGGCGCTCTTCCCCTGTCTCGCTACTGGCGCCGCCTGAATCCGAAAACTCTCACACCGATCCATGCTGTGTGGTTTGTCGTCTTCAGCTCCGCCGTGTTGGGGCTTCTTGCCCTCGTTAACTTGACAGCGGTTGAAGCCATCTTCAACTGTGCTGCACTGGCATTGTACATTTCGTACGCCATTCCAATTTTGATGCGGATAACATACGGCCGAAAGACTTTCCAGCCGGGACCATTCTCACTTGGATCTTTCAGTGTTCCTATTGGCACCGTTGCATGCTGTTTTGTCCTTGTTCAGATCCCTGTGCAGCTATTCCCGCTAGGACCGGTTACAAACCCTCTGGACATGGTATGTTCATGATATTATGTCTTGTTGAGTGTTACCACTCATATCAATACCTTTATTGTACAGAACTACGCTGTGGTCGTGCTAGGCACTATTCTCATTGGTTCCTTGGGCTGGTTTTTCCTGGGTGCCCGTAGATGGTTTCAAGGTCCTCGTCTTACAATCTTGGAAGGATCTTCCACAGCAATGGAAATAAATTGCGACAATGAAAAGATTAGAAAGGAGATGGAGAATGAAATAACGTGGACTGCTGGGCAAGCCGTATAAATGGAGGGGATCTATGGAGAGTCGATGTACATTTTTGTGACATTTCTTTTTGTATGCATATTATTTTGATCAATAGTTGATATTTACCAATGTTACCAGTATATTGTTCAGCCATCAAAAAAGTTTTTTGATTTACTTTCATCTTGCGATGATAACTGACAGTGTAAAGTGCAAATGATGGGCATCATATCAATGTGGCTTAGCAATTGATTAGAATGCATGGCTCCAACCATGACGCGGAATCGTCATCGTGCTCGTCAGCTCATCTCGCGCAACTTTGGGCCAACCTCAGATCACTCTCATGAACTTGAATCCTCATAAAATGCGCTCCCATCATATAGTCCGCTTATACAGCAGTGCTGCCACCAAGGCGACAACCGCTGCTCCACAGCAACCGCCACCACCACCGTTGAACCCGTCCTCCCTTCAGTACACAACTCCCATCCTGTCAACTTACTCCACCCGTCTCGCGTCTCACACATCCAGTATCAAATCCCCAAGATGGACGTACAAGGGCCCACCAAATACAGCCTGGCGACACGCCGCAATCCTCATCCCTCTTTGCACAGCACACGGAAAACCGTCCATTTTATTCACGATGCGATCCTCAAAACTACGGCGTCACGGAGGTGAGGTCTCTTTTCCAGGGGGAGCCGTTGACCCCGGGGATAAAGACGTGATTGCCACAGCGTTACGAGAAACCCATGAAGAAATTCTGATACCGCCAGACCATGTGACGGTATTGGGTCAGTTTCATCCTTTACCGGACCGGACACACTCGATTTTGATTCATCCGATTTTATCGCATATCCATACGCCTCATTCCCTAGTTCCTGAATCCATGCCATTTAATCCTACTGAGGTAGAAGAAGTCTTTTGTGTTTCGTTAGAGGAGTTGTTGGGTATGCAGACAGAGACAGAACACTTGCGGGGTGGAAAGCGACTGGTTAGGAACTGGAACGTGGGTGAAAAGAGAATTTGGGGATTGACGGCGTGGGTACTAGAAGCTGTGCTGCGAGTGGTGGTGGCTCCGGGTGGAGTGAGCGAAGAATGGAGAGAGGCATGGAGAGCAGAAAGAGGCATCTCAAATGATTGATATCCCAAAAAGAAATACAGCCAATAAATGAATATAGAACCTTTTCTAGACACTGCCCGCTGCCAATGCTTCACTTAGAACCACCTCATCCTTACTGCTATTCCCCTTAACAATGTTTCTAATATAAAATTCCCCAGCCTTGTAACTCGATCTAACCAATGGTCCACTCGCCACATACTTGAACCCCAAACTTTTGGCAACCTCAGCCCAGTGGTCGAATTTGTCGGGATGAACATATTCGGCGACCTTCATATGCTTCTTGGTGGGTCGCATGTACTGGCCGAATGTTATAACGTCGACGTCAATGGCTCGGAGGTCTATATTGACGGATACAACATCAGTAGCGGTTCAACTGGCTTCCAATCAATAGCCAGTTCACATACCCTTCATAGCTTGCAAAACCTCTTCGTCCGTCTCCCCCAATCCCAACATCATGGACGTCTTTGTAACCAAATCCGAGCGCATCTTTTTGGCATGCTCCAGCACACTCAGCGATTGTCGAAATGTTGCCCGACGGTCTCGAACATATTTGGTAAGATTTTCAACGGTTTCAACATTATGTGCGTAAACATCGAGGCCGGACCTTGCGACCCGGGCAACATCTTCAAGTTTGCCTCGAAAGTCGCCCGTCAGGCATTCTACAAGAATATTGGGCGCTCTGAAAAATTACAAAGTAATGAATAAAAGGGAACGGGCTTGTCAACATAATATAACACACTTTGACTTTATCAACTCCACAGTCGTCGCAAAATGATCTGCTCCCCCATCGGCCAAATCATCCCGATCCACTGACGTTAAAACAACATAATCTAATCCCCATCGCGATATTGCTTCCGCAGTTTTTTCCGGTTCATCCGGATCCAAAGGTTTTGGTGCCCGATTTGTTTTAACGGAGCAAAACCGGCATCCTCTTGTACATTCATCCCCCATAAGCTACCCCAAAACATTCAAACTTTGAATCTTTGAAACATGGAACAACCATCACTCACCATTATGGTTGCCGTAGCAGTTTTATCCTCCCCACCACCCCAGCATTCTCCAATATTGGGACACCGCGCTTCCTCACAAACAGTATGCAACTTGAGGCCCCGCAAATCCTTTTTGAGACGGGCAAAATCCTCGCCGACGGGTATATCCGTTTTCAGCCATGAAGGAAGTCGTACGTGACTAGCATAATACCCAAAAAACATTAGTGATCTCAATGGTAGGACAATGGAAGGTATGAAAATGCGACAAAACAAAACCAACTTTTTTCGTCGTAATGCACCGCCTGTTGTTGTTTTGACGGGTTCCCTCAACTCCAACGCTTCCTCAACACTCAATTTATCCGATGCAGCTATAAAGTCGCCTAGATTGGGTCCATTGGCGAGCTCCTCTGAGAACTTTCGTTGTTTCCCGTCATGTCGAGTCGTTGTCGCCAAGGTTCGACTTGACAATGACCGTGAGATAGCAGGAAAGGAAGGACGTGTTTGCAAGGCAAACCGTATCGATGTCCGTGCACTCATCTTGTAAGTAACAATGCAAGTCTACTTGGTAGCTAACCAACCCTGGTTCTCCAAAAGCTTGGTGTTGCTGATAAACTTGTCCCCAACGACAATTCCATGTGGCACAGCAAAAAGACCAATATACCCAAATATGGATGCCGCGCATCATCGTCTTGTTTTCCGCCGATTCTTTTACAAACTAACTGTAAAAAATCGCCTACCCTATTTGTGACAAGAGAAAGATTCTAGTGTTATGTACAAGTGACTTCCTCGCAACCCTCGAAAGCTACCCTCCACCCCATCACACGCTAACCAAAACTTCCTTAAAGACAATGTCAACAGCCTCCCGTTTGATTAATCCACCGTCACTCTCATCCACTGTTTCCTCCACAGTCTCAGCTTCTTCAACTTTTTCTGTAATCGCATCCACCACAGTGTCGTCAGAGACCCTCGGCACCATGAAAGAGTTCAAAAAGGACATGATCATTTGGGTAGGCGGGGGTAGGACGTGGGATGGGGCCGAGATATCAAAGACTATAGCAGATGTAGCCTTGTAGGGTTGAGCAGTGGGTTGCGTGGGTTGATTTTGGTATAGATTCGTTAGGGACGTGCGAGAGGAAGGTTGTTCTTCAATCTTTTTCTGTAAGAAAAATACCATTAGTATTTATTCAACATGAGAAACGATCCCGCTGACCACTTACAACAACACGGGGTCCCTCAGTATCATTTTGACTCAAAACCTCTAATTCACCATTTTGATTCAATAGAACCAAGTCGGACTCTGCCTTCTTGGGCCTGAACACCGCCGAGAAGCAAGGTACAGCAAGGGATGACGATGCCAAGGGTGTTGGTGATCCAGTTTCAAAAATAAGTAGACGTGTCGCTGTCCTCCGAATTGCAGGAGAGTGTTTCGATCCAGGCAAGCTATCCTCATGTGCCAGGACAACGAAACGAGATTGGCTTGGGTCAACCGCAATGGAATGCACGTGTAACCGGAGTGACCATAGTACTACACGACAAGAATAAGTCCCATGGAATTATCAGCCAAGTCTGCAACGCACAACTCACATGTGCAGCTGAGAAGGTTCCAAACATATACCCGGTCGTCTGTGCATGATATCAAATGTGATGTACCAACAGCTCGGACACGTCGAATGGGTGATCGGGGAAGAGGAGATGCGAGGACCCCATGTAAACGAGAGCCAAATGCGTCCCATATGGTGATCAACTGCAGTAAACATTCAGATAAGTATCCCCACGTCATTCTTAACACGGATGTTAGAGACTATACCTGTCCGAACGCGATTGCTATGATCGAACCATCGTTGGAAAATGTCGCATCATATGCGGGGAGGTTTTGGTACGTTCCCCACGATGTGCATAGCCAGTGTTCTAATACGACGAGATATTGTCGTTAGCCTAATACGTCAAGTAATCCTACAAACTACAATAGCACCTCACCCTTCACGTCGCTGTGTGCCGTTTTTGCCAGTTGCCATATCTTGAACGTTCCATCCTCGCTCGTCGTGACGGCGATCAACGACGTTCCACTGATCTTCAAGCTCGTAATGGGTCCCTTGTGGGGTTGGTCCATGCGCGTGACCACTTTGTAGCTAAAATAGACGAGTCAAAAACGAATCTTGTTGCGGGCGTCTACGAGATGATTCCTTACCTTTGGGCATTTTCATCGTACTCCCAAAACTTGAGGAAATTTTGCGACTGACCATCTTCAATCGAAGTTCGTTCTTCACTCTACAAAACCGCCACGCCACGTCAACGCTTCGCAGATCCGTTGCGCAAGAGCTTCGACTACATACTGTTGCCATCCATGCCGCGTCAGCAGAGAATGCCACATGCGTGATACGCGCATTTATACGGCTTCCATTGCCATCGTCCAGCTGAGAAACTGGATTGGGTATGACTTCAACCTATTGTATCTAGTATCAGCGGACAGTCCCGATCAATCATTTTGCCTCGAATACTTGTTACCTGTAATACTGATGAATCATCTGCCACGTCGTAAAATTGGAGATGACCAGGATATCCTTCTAATACAATCGCCTTGCTCTTAGGTTCCACCAATAGCCCAGTCCGGAGTGTCTGCTGATCCCCGATCGACGTTGCTATGACCCATAGTCTGATCAACACACACAGACCTGATGATACGCATACAGTCCTTAAACTCACCAAACTGCAATCCAGTTACAACCCTTTTTACGGTCAAATTTATCGCCGATATCAACCGAACAGTGTTATCCTTATGATACAGTGCATATGAAGTCTGGTCGGGGCTGACGGCAATAGAGAAGATTTCTGACCCCAACCGCGGAAGGAACTGTTTGTGTCTCGTACGCAGCTGCCAGACAACCAGAACCATTTCATTTCCACCAGATAGAAGATATCCGCCTGACGATGGGCAAGGTTAGTGCGTTGCCCCGACTAAATTGGTAAACCCCCCGCACTGCGTACCGTCACTTGTGAACGCGAGATCGTTAACCCTATGCGGGTGCCAGTGTAGGACTTCACGTACGGCATTCTGCTTTGAAGTTGCTATGACATTGTACCTGAATAACAAGATACGATCAGTATCGTCAATAAGACGCTGTGAGCAGAATTCCGCTGGTACCAGATGGTGATGCGTCCTCGGATATCGCCAACCGCAATACTTTGGCCTGTAGGGTGTACGGCGAGGGAAGTAATCTCTTCGTCTGATTCGTATCTGTAACATCAGCAAGCACGTTAAACCTTACAGTAGGACCCAACAAGATCAACAAAACCCGTACCTAGAGAGCTCTGACAAGGAGTCTGTATCGAAAACTGCCGCCATTGCCCGACTCGCGACAGCCATATAATTTCCATCGGCTGACGCCTCCAACGCCAACAAGGGCTTTTTTGTCTTCAGTAGCACCTTCTTCTTACGTGTCTCAAACCCGAAGCGGTGACATGTGTATTTCACGGACCTTGCGGTGGTTTCCGAGGCCGTCTTTTCCTCGCTTTGGGTTATGACGTATGCGTATTTGGGCTGTTTGGGGTTAATCACCATATCGGTGATGTGTTCGCCCACATCCCAAAACTGCCAAATAATAGAGCCATGTCAGTCTAAGTTGTTATGTACAATCTTTTTAAAATTCCTACGCACCTGAACAAGACTTCCTCCTTCAATATTCCAAAGACGAATAATGCCATCCGACGATGCCGTGTATAGCTACGAGCCAAGAACGTTCGAGTGGGTACACGTCCGACACCCGATGTTACATCACATGTGATTCATACCTGGAGCGGGTTTGCGGGGTTGGGTTGAACTGCAGTGCAGACTGCTTGTTCCAAGTAAGAGGACAAGGACAAGACATGAAGGGGTAACCCAGTAGATGTATTGAAAACTTTTATACGTGTCGCATTGAAGGTGATAAATCGACTAGGACCCGCCCAGCTGAATGAATAAAAGCGGAACTAGGCGGTAAATGACTTATAGAGCAGTCATACCTCGAATCCGCTGTAAATATCACCCGTTTATCAGAGATTCGACCTCCTGCTTTGGCAGTGACCCGCCAAGAGACGCCTCTAGTAGCAGGGACACCAGCTTCCTTGCTATTGGCGAGGTCATCCGCAGCTTTAACCTCTCGTCTGTATCGCCTTTGCCCTCTGGCCGGTCTACTTCTCTTCTTTTTCGTGCCATCGACCTCCTGGCCCGCTTGCGGGGTCGTCTTTGCGGTCTCTGGTGCCATGACGGAATCTGCAAATGACAGTGATCTGCAATTGGAACTGGACATGCTTTTGCTTATCCTGCGCCACGTCAAAAAAATTACACTCTTACTTCATCATTTGGTAAGCCTTCATTCAAGTGTGAAATTGGATGTTTGAAAATGGGACGAGTAAGATATAGTGAGCGCAAGCTAGAACAAGACTTTTGATCTAGGGCTTTAGGGATTTTGAGTCCGTTGCATATTAAAACTTAATTCTGTTGTGATTTGTTTTAACAGTATCTGGGTTGATGCATATTGAGACCTCCCTTGGAATCCTCTTGGACATTTGTCTTTTCACCCATCGCAGGTCTACGTTTATTCATTCAAGAAAACACGGGTTTCTCCGTAAAGCTTTCCGCTAAAACAAATCCGCCCCTCCGCTTGGATTTCACACCTTTTCCGCTATCACCTCTGATCAAATCACGTTTGCTAATGAAAGATGACTCATACAATCTTTCGCTTTTCGTATTTGGATTTGCCCGTGGTCATCGCACACTCACCCCATCTGCCACCAACATAAAGTTAACTCATCATGTCATCCACACTCGACTATCTCAAGCAGTACACCACCGTGGTCGCGGACACGGGAGACTTTGAATGTACAGTGTTTCAACAAGGACTTGTTGTTGGAACTATACTGACCTGCCTTGCCTTTCCTTCACAGCCATCGCTGCCTACAAGCCCCAAGACGCCACAACAAACCCATCGCTCATCCTCCAAGCGACCCAAAAACCAAACTATGCTCACTTGATCGATACTGCCGTCCAGTACGCCAAGAAGAAGGGTGGAAGCCTTGATGAGCAGGTCGAACTCGCGGTTGACAAGTTGGTTAGTTCAATAATGAAGAGAAACTGTCCAAAATTTTCAAATATCTAATGCATGCGTTAGTTGGTGAACTTTGGTTCCGAAATCCTCAAAATCGTCCCTGGCCGAGTCTCAACTGAGGTTGATGCCCATCTGTCCTTCGACACTGAGGGTACCATCAAGAAAGCTCTGGAAATCATTGCTTTGTACAAGGAGGCCGGCGTCGACTCTAACCGAGTCCTCATCAAGATTGCTTCCACCTGGGAAGGAATTCAAGCTGCCCGCGTCCTCGAACGCGATCACAACATTCACTGTAACCTCACCCTTTTGTTTTCCTTTCCACAAGCTGTTGCCTGTGCCGAAGCAGGTGTGACGCTTATCTCTCCGTTTGTGGGACGTATTCTGGACTGGTACAAGGCAAAGACTGGAAAGGATTACCGGGGTTCCGAAGACCCTGGCGTCCAGTCTGTCCAGAAGATCTACAACTATTACAAAAAGTATGGCTACAAAACCATCGTCATGGGTGCCAGCTTCAGAAACGTGGAGGAGATTGAAGAGCTGGCTGGCTGCGATTTCTTGACGATCAGCACGAAATTGTTGGAGGAATTGGCTAAAACGACCAAGCCTATCGAACGCAAGTTGAGTCCTGAGAAGGCGCAGGCTTTGGACATCCCCAAAGTGTCTTACGACGAGAAGAAGTTTAGATGGGAGTTGAACGAGGATGCTATGGTATGCGTCGGGTTATGATTATCAGTACTACGTTGGTGTGTGATTGGATGCGCATTGAATAACTGACAAAATTTCTAACTAGGCAACCGAAAAGCTTGCTGAGGGTATCCGGAACTTTGCTGCGGACGGCAGGAAGCTCAAGGACAATATTAAAGCGAAACTCCAAGCGTAGAGCGCAGGATTTAGCTCTAGAACGGGGCACTATGTTCATAGCATCTACACTCTTGTGGTCTGATCATGCACTTTTGCATGAGTGCACATATCTGTAATGAGCGCAACAGGGATTCTGTAATGTAGTTTCTGTGTGACAGTTTTATGCAGTGTTTTTATCGGATACTCTTATCTAGCATCTCTGGATCCATCAGTACCACGTCTCTCAGCACCTTGCCAAACGTGAGGCTGACTGCATCCTGGAATTTTGCGAGAGCATCCAGAGGTGAATCAGTGTCCTGTAGCGGATATGCATTCCGGAGGATCGAGCGCAGTTCTGCCATTGGCATTGGAAGCTTCAATTCTACAGTATGAGAACAGTTCAGTACAGATTGAAACATCCACAAACAAGAAAAAAATGGTGTCTCTAAAACACACCTTCCAGAAGATTCCCAACGCTCTCGACTAAACTCGGAAACGCTTTAGCAATATTTACCAAAACCCCTACAATCGTTTCCGTCCAGCCTTCTACCCGTGGGGGAAAAGGAATTGTCGTTGCCGTGTCCCTGGACGCCTTAAGGTGCTTGTTATATTTGGAGAGATCAAGGCACAGGTGGGCGATGTTGGGTAGAATCAAATGCTTTGCTTGGTGGAGACTTGTAGAAAATGAGCAACACAATTCTGATACTACAAATCACACACTCTGGTGAAGACGCACCTTTTTTCGATTGGATAGGTTTCGCCCAACCATCCAAACAATTGCAATCCAAATACCCTAACGCGAATATTCGGATGCTCGAGCATGCCTGGGACAAAATCAAAACACACATCTGCACAACAGTCGGTGTTTTATTGATACGGGGTCTGCGGTAATGAAAACCAGAACAAACGCACGGACATGGAACACATACGCATAGAAGGCACGCCCTCCACAACCCCCTTTAATATTTCCACCGGAAACGTCTGGAATGCGACAACGCGTATCAGAATTGGATCTTCAATGAACATCTGGTGAATAAAGTCGTATATAAAGGGGCGGATTGATTCTGGAGTGGTAAAGCGTGAGAAGAGTACGTTCTTGGACGTCAAACGGCAGAACTGGGTATTACCCTCGCCGCCGACTAGTCCTTCGAGAAGACATTGGATGATGGCCGCGTCTTGGGTTTGTATGAGGGTATCTATTGTTGTTGGAGGTAGGTATGCCTCCGGCTAACCAACCCCACATTAGTAAGTTTGCTTCACCTCCTCTGGATGCACAAATTACAAACCTTTATTCCGCCGGCCCATAGTTTCCTCCATCGATGTTTCGAGGCAATCATGTAATACGTCAAGACCTATCCAATTCCCCATCCGCGAGCGGTCAAAAACCTGTCCAAGAAAGGACATGCCGATAACGCTTACCCGCAGGAAAATTCTTAAGGCGCCTCGTCTGAATACCTCTCGACATGAGAAGACAATCAATGGATCCATAACGAGTGTATGGTGATCATAAGGCTTTGCATTCCTATCGAAACTTTTCTTAATACCAAGCATTACGGTGGAGAGGCAGACGCGATACGAACAAAGGCCTCAAGGTATTCACAGTCGCCAGACATGTTTCACGGGGATTGATCGTGTATAATGATATCCAAAGGGAAAAGAATTGTGTGCTGATGTCTGATGTGGTTCTAGTGCGCTGTTATATCAGCCGTGGTGCGTGTCAATGCTATATCGGTGTGTGACATACTGAGGGTTTGTGATGCGGGGTAGTAGGTTTGTGGTAACGGTCGCGAAATGAGTTTGGAGGTCCATCAATGTTAGGGAATCCAGATACGATATAACTGGCGATATCCCCCATTTCGAAATCTCAGAAAATGGAAATCGTGTAATATTAACAATGTCGCTGCTCTCACCTGCACGAAGATCCTCTTCTTTCCCACTACTTAATAAAATATTGACATCCGCTGCCTCCATCTCTTTGCCTATCAAAGCAAAACCCCTGACAGCCGCGGGCACCACCGCACTCTTGTCCCTGCAACCCTCCTCGCAGAGAAATCCACCGACATCGAGAACCTCTGGATACTGGGCGCACATGAGTGCCCAGAAACGAGGATATAGAGTGTGGTATGTGGGTTGGTTTGAAGGATCCTCGACATGAGAGAGAATTTGCTTCGTTGGGATACGGTCCAAGAGGTTATCGGTATACTCCTCCACTGCACATTACAGTTAATAGCGAGTACGACAACGGGTGCTCTGCAAAGTCGGACATACATTCGTAGATGGGATCACCGCCTTGTTTTTGCAGACCTGATCTTCGTTCCTCTACCATATCGTTATAGAGCAAAACGTAGTATAAAGCAAGGACATGTCGTGCTGATATGGTCTTCCGGTTTTCAAATAGGAGAGCTATATCTGCTTCAGATATCCCGGTTACCGGTCCTCTTTTACCAACACTGGAAACCTCATATAGTCACTACCGAAAACATGGTCCAACTGAGACGAGTGTAAACTACCTTTCGACGTATAGTTCGAGTGCTTTCGGCAAAACAGGGTCCAGCGGGACATGGGCATTCTTAATTTGGTCGAAAGTCCACTGCTGAATGTCTACATTGGGTTTGGGTAAGATGTCACCGCGAAGGATCTGGCAGACTATGCGGGTAGATAGGGAAACCATTTAAGTTTCATTCCCAAGATCTACATTCACCTCCCTTTGGCCGACGAGGTGTCAGGTGCTAAGTCGCGCGTTCACAGTCGCGTTGCCAGCGAACGGGCTCTTGAGCATATTCAAATACTCACGACATCAAAATGTTGAGCAACACAAAGGTGAATGTCCCTTGCTTCAAGTTCACATGCCGTTCAGATCGACCTTACATAAATCCATGTAGCCCTCAATGGACAGCGCAATCCGAAAGCTAAAGGTTCAAACGGGCGCAGTAAAACGGTACGCAACGTCGTGCTGCTGCTGGCCTCAACAATTCCTAACGTTCATCGTACCAGCATAAGCAAGGACCTTTCATATTATGAAAAGGAAGCAGCTAAACAGCAGGAACGAATCGATAAACTCGTCGCGGACGGAGCTGACGAACACGACATTCGCAAACAAAAAGAGGTATTGGAGGAGACCAACCAGATGCTTCCAGAGAGTAAAAAGAGGCTTGCAGCTGCGTATAAAGAGTTGGCGGATTTGGTAGAGAAGTATTTGGTAAGTAGAGATTTGCTGAGCTGTCTTTCTAATTGGTATTGATGGGGCCTCTCTGCAGAGTGCTGCTGGATCTGAGGAAGTTGCACCTGAGGAAGTTCTAGCTGCTCAAACAGTGTTGCAAGAAGTGCGGGTATAATAACCAAGATGTACATATAATATAATAATTTCATAAATATCTACGAACATCCCCGATCGCTCCGATGCACTTCTTGGCCTGTTCCCTCACCAACACGGCCCCATCCCCAGAGCACATCCCCTTTAACTTGGCCATAACATCATGAATGCTAATAAACTGGGTCATCTCCGCATCCGACAAGCTTCTTACAATATGATACAAAATGTGCAATAAGTTTAATCGAACCATTGTTTCAGGGTGAGAGAGATGTGAGCAGATTTTTTGACCGAACAAGGAATAGCGGGCAATCGAGCGGCAGATCTTCGACGATGCCACTAGGATTCGTTGGAAGGGAGTGAGAATGCTTTCGAATGTTGCCGCTTCAGCTTGGCAGAATGCCAAGACCAACTTTTCCGCGTGGTGCGACAAGCAGAGTTGACTCTCGATTTGGTCGCTGTCGTTCGACATCCTGCGATTATTCGATCAATATAATTATCAAGATATATTGCCTCACTTCATGTTCGGTTGACAGTATGCTTACCATGTGGAGATAGCCTCGAGCGCGTCCACTTGCCAGCATGGATCCACTAGTAACGAAATGAACGACAACAATGCACCGTTCTGCCACAGTATTTTCCTGCATGTAGCACCAGCATTGACCATATCGGTCAAGATTGGTATGGCAAATTGCTTTAGAGGACTTCTCGTTTCCACAAAGCCTTGAAGGCAAGGCACGGCACCCTCAAGAGCAGCCGCTAGTTGCCGAGATTTGTTGAGACGACACAGGTTATACAGAGCATTCAAGGCTTGGTTTTGGATATCCTATGCATGCAGATGTCAGACACCACTTTGGCATAGTTTAATCGACTAACTTACTGTGAAAAACGGTCCATCCCGCAAGGTCAATATTTGACACAGCGGTCGAATTACATCCGCTTTTTCAAGTGACCGCAGGGTTTCTGAATGCATGGTAACGTTCTTCACGCATTTTAAAACTTTAACCAGTATTGGGGCAGCCAATTGTGGTACGGTGTTCACTATCCCTGGAATAACCATATTTAGATATGAAAAGTGCAACCGCGGACGTAGCTCGAATCAGGACATAGGTCAGGCATACCTCTGATGCAAGCGTCTTTTGCGAGCGACTCCTTGAGCGATACGTCGCCTTGAGAAAACATGACCAGCATATTGGCAATCTGATCAGTGTAACGATATGCTTCTGGATCCGTATCTTCATTCAGTTCACCAAAGACCCGTGATAATGATCTCAGTAGCCCGTGCTTCACGAAGAGATGGCAAATATCCGTTCGAGGGGTGGAACTCTATGAGTAGGCAACAGAGTTAAACTCGTCCAGGATGATTTTGTTAGCATGGTCCCACACCTGCAATTCCAACACTCCGGATATCCCGTCAATACCCGAAAAAATTAGAACCTTCGACGTCCGATAATCAACTTCCAACAGATTAACTAGCGCCCGAACACCACCGCACGCCATAAACATCCGTAGTGAGTTGGAACTGGTGGTGCAGACGCGTTTTAAGAAGAGCGCTGCTTCTTCACGGACGTTGAGACGATACTCTGAGTTCGTTAAATCAATGAGCGTATTCAGCCCACCAAGTAGGCATATGTTCTCCTGTATCAGCATGTCACGCTGTGCGCTCTACCTTGGTATTTAAGGGTTAGATTATCACTGTGGAGGTACCCTGGGTGAAAACCACGGACCTTATTTATCAATCGTAACATTGTCCACTGTAATTGCTCGTCTCTTTGGAATTTCAGCGCATCCAGTATAGGCCCGATAGCATGATGAGTGATTAGCATTTTACTCGCTTGAGGATGAGTGTCAAGCAGAGCCAACTGACAGATGAATTGCATAACTGAGTTACGATGATGGATGAATGACGATCTTAACGGCCCAACCTACCGCTGCATCGCAGCTACGGCACAATACATTAGGGTCGTCCTCTTTTCGTAGGCGTTCGATGAACTCCACGACGCCCGATGTCATTGGTAGGGTATAGTCCTTCGCAACGGTTTCCTCGAATGCTGTACTAGTGATCAAAACGTGGTGGGATCCAAAGAGGAAACGCTAAGCTTCTTACCCATATTCTCCAGGACGCTTAGGAAAGGATCGTCTTCCGTGTCGCTATCTTCCTCGGAAGGCTTACTGGCAGCTGGCAACGCCAGCCAGCATGGGGCCTGCGATATGTTTACGTTAAATATACTTCGTTGTAAAATACAGAAATGGTATAGAAAGACACCTTGTGATCACTGGCATCAGGGCCCTGTTGGTCTGAATAAACGAAACTCTCATCATCAACAACTATCACTGAGGTAGTTCGTTTTTGCGCATTTAATACAACCTTTGCTTTTCGCCTGTAAATTCACATCAAATGGTTCAAAGTCGTTGTCCCAGACATCGCTACTCATGTCCGGTTCGCACAACTCCTCAACGTCTGCTTTTGGAGGATTCGACGACGCAGTGAACTTTGTCGTGGACGCTGGTCGCAAAGGAGATGAGCGATCTGTTGTTGCCCGCTCTATTTGGAGGAGAAGAGTTTTGTTTATATACGTGACATGTGATAAAGATGTTATACTCTGAAGGCGCACTTTCACGGCTTCCTTTGCTTTGGGAGCTTGGAGATCTTGGAAGGCTTGACGCAGCTCTGGCGATTTGTCCGTCGTTCATGTCCTCTAGAATGTATTGCTGAAGATCTCGCGCCACTACCTGCAGAAATGTTACTATGCTACCTATTTACCAAGTGGATGTGTCCGCCACGAAACCCTCACCCTTCTTCGTGCACTTTCGATCCATGGATGCTTTAGAAGCCTTTTGGCAGAGATCCGCAAATTGGCGTCTTTTTGAAAGCATTCCATGAGAAAATCTCGGAGCATCTGCCTCGAAGGGAAAGATCCCAAGTCAATATAGCATGATGCAATTGATGCGACAATATGACACGTACCACAGAGGTTTGGGCAGGTAGGGATGGATGATCATCGTGAACAATGCGAAATAGCGCCGACATTGGTGCGAGTGTGTGATATGGTGGGTGACCTTGTAGCAATTCAATGGCCGTGCAGCCGACACTCCTAGAGATCCATGTCTCAGCAGATGCACAAAATGGCTTTTGATTTTTTCAGTACCAAATGTCGGACGCAGTCGTGGCACCGTGCAGTTCAATAACTTCAGGGGCCACTTTAAACAGGTGGTACATCGCCATGAGATAAAGAGCCTAGTCTGCCGAAAAACTTGCGGAACTTACTCCAATACGGAGATCCGGCAAATACTTTATTTGTAGCGTTAATCTTGCTCGCAATACCGAAGTCTGCCCAAATGCTGTGGGTTACTATCAAAGACCCAAGTATAGAAAATTATAAGAATTATACCGGCCAGCTTGACCTGCCCTTTCTTAGTTGTAAGGATGTTCTGCAAATAGGAGGAAAACCCTTCCAGTTATTATCATACTTGAGCTGATCGGCTGAAGTACCTACCGCAGCCTTGATATCACGATGAATGACACCTTGTTCATGCAAATAGACTAGACCCTCAAGTACTTGGGCAATATAGAGAGCAACGAGATGCTCCGGAAAGCGACCAAATCTTCTACAAATATTCGACAAGGACCCATTTTCGCAGTATCTTCATGAATGAAACAGATACCGGGTCATTTTATGGAAACGCGATTGAAGATAGAGATAAGATCTCAAGTGCCTACTCCATAATAATATTCAAGTATTCGGGCGTCTTGACAAATCCTAGATATTGCACAATGTTGGCATGCTGGTTGGTGTCGCCAATCAATAACGATCCTGATGGCTTTTAACAATTATGTGATACATGCGGACTCACATTCAGCTCCTTCAGCAAATCAATCTCTCCCTGAAAGAGCAAGTCAGATATGAATAAGCCGAGAATGTTTATCAACTTATAACGGGAGTACCGCACCGTAATAAGAGTCAAGTCGGGTTTCGCGATATTGGAGAGCCGGAGCTGCTTCACGGCCACGACCTCTCCGGTCTCCGTAACAAGGCCAGAATACACGCACCCAAAGGCACCCTTTCCCAAGCAATCTCCCAGTTGAATTGCATCTGCCAAGATAATCGTCATGGAGTGTCAAAGTGGGCATAGATCGGCCAGAAAGACATGTCCGACCAAATGGACAATCGATTACATAACGCGTTCTCATCACGTGATGATCGAGGAATCGGACCTGTGGGAGTTCGCACTTTTGAATCAATTGTGGAATCAACGCATGGCACGTAATGCAGCCTCGAAATCCTTTTTGCTGGACTCGGATTTGTTTGACCCTGAGGACGGAGGTGGGTGCTCCACAGTAGGTGCGTCATGAACTTGTAACTTTTAGTTTGACCTGCTGCATGCAACTAGGTGCAGCCCGATCTACGGTGACCGATGCTTCCAATATGACCTTGGAAGCGGAAGAGCCCACCATTCCTGCGGTGTTGTCAGATACCCCCACGTCGGATGAGCTCGCAAAAAATTGCGAAACTTCTTCTGTCGGGGACACAGTAGCTGCCATCGCTGTACCGCCAGGGATCACCGTGAGTTATTCATCTGTGCTTGCAGGTAAGCAGTGGAGACAGACTGTTACTGACCCCCTCTCAGGTGCCATTATACCCGCTCTTTCAGCGTCCTATAAAAAAGAATCTGAAAAAATGCCCTAAGCCCATGCCCAAAGATACTAGTACAACCACAACGCGCCAACCAGCTTCACAGGTCTGAGTTTTCAAAAGGCAAATCGCTTTAATGACATACATCTCTGAATGCGGATCATCTGCATTCCGTCGCAGACCAGAACGGACTCTGCTGTCCTTGTCGGAGAAAGTCAGCCACCCCTCCAAGTGCCTGCTCTCGTCTCATCGACTACCCCTTTGGCTCCTCCTGAAAAATCTATTAACGATATCCTCAAATCGAAGGGTATATCGAATTTCTTCAATCCTCGAAGGACCGAAAACGGCAATAATGCACGTCAGGGCTCAAAACAAGCGGTCACAGCATACTTTCCCGACTCATTTTGTTGCCATGTTGGTGCAACGCATCACTTGACTGGTCAGACCAGTAATCTGGCACCCGGATTTCATCCCAAATCAGATACCAGCACGGATCTCCAGCCCAGTGGTGATAGTATCGGAGCGATGCATGACTTTCTCAGAGGTCGTACTACCCGACGCGTGTGTCAAGAGGAGAAAAAGCTCAGCAGCGGTCAATCTATTCCCAAAGTGAAGGCCAACAGATCTGCTCTCTCGCGCCTCCTGCGTTGTCTGTACTCGTCCGATGCTCTCTTTACTCCGGCATGCAAAGCTTTGTACGATCAACTAATCAGCCCAAGCACCGGCTTCGGACCAGACGGCTCGATATTCAGTGACAAGCCGCTGGGACGACAACAGGAGGACGTGTCCTCAGCTCTTGAGCGTTGGCTAGAACACTGGAAATACGCATCTTCCCACAAACCTCCGAAGAAGCGCAGAAAGCGGACTAGTGGTACGTGAAATTTGGCAGTGTGGACACACACAACCTGCTGAACTTTGAGGGCAACAGGTTCGGACTCCGAGTCTCCGCTGAGTGATTGGGAAGATTATTGGGATGTGGAGTGGAACGCAGCCTCTAAGAATATCATGCTGATTGGCGCTCCGGGATCTGGAAAGACCAGGTTAATACATTCGGCAGCAAAACGCTGCGGGTATAACGTATTGGAGATCAATGCTAGCTGCAGACGTAGTGCTAAAGACATTTTAACGATTCTGACCGAGGCGACGCAGAGTCAGGCTCTTCCACCGAAGGACGGGGTCAAGTATCAAGAATGGGAACTATATGATACAAGGGATGGCCCACCCTTGCTGGAGCAACGTGAAGAGTCTTTGAACGCAGAGAGCGACGGTTTGGATGCATCCCAGGCAATTGTAGCTGTCCAGCAACTGGAAGGCGTGATACGAACTGCCAAGAAGACGCGACGGCAAAACCTGATATTTTTCGACGAAGTAGACTTTTTGTCCGAGGATGATAAGGGGTTCTGGAAAAGCGTACTCACGTTGCTCGAAAATAGCAAATGCCCGGCTGCCTTCGCTTGCAATGGCAAGTCTTCATATGTCATTTGTTTTGTTGGGTACCATGAGTCTAACATTGCTGCAGATAATCCTCTGACACTGTCAAACCCAAGTATATCTAGCACCACGCTTCCTCTCCTCAAGGATCTAATCACTCCCCTGTACTTTACCCCGCCAAGCGTAGAAGAGCTAACTTGCTATAATCATCTGACACTTTTGTCCTTAAACACCTGGATCGAGGATCCCAGTGACCTGGCAAGATGGTCTGAGGCTGCCCGAGGAGACATCCGGAGATGCGTCCATCGGCTGCCGTTGGCGCTTGTGCCATCTTGCCGAGAGAGCAACTTGTGTGTTCATTGCGCGGAGGAGGAATTAGAGGTTGAGATGGTAGATGTTGAATTGACGGACGCAGAAAAGGAGAACACGTTCTGCCTGATGCAATTACCGCCACAGTGTGGGGTGTCGTTCGAAGGAGCCGAGTCATTGGATTTTCTGCAGCTCAATAGTCCTATCTCCCATGACCCCCAGACTACGTCACCAGAGAGTACATATGATCCAGAGGATACCAAGCCGCCCACCACCGCCAACGGACTTTATCCGGACTATGGCAGCTCAATCAACACCGCTGCGACTTGTACTGAAAATTTGTCGTTCATGGATACGGTTCTGCGTTCAACTCATTGGCGAATATCACAGGTAACCAGCTTTTCATGAATCTTATCGACAGCGCTCCTGACTTCCGTCTTTTTGGCTGCCAAGATGCAAGAACCAGAGTTAGCATCTACATCCATAGGCATGAACGCAGATGCATTATATGCATATTGTTCTATTGTTCAACCAGTATCATATCCAGTGGATGCAGCATCTGGTCTATGGGAAGAATTTTGGGAGGTGGACGTTCATGAAGAGAGGAAAGAGAAAAGGTATCTCGTTACAGTTCCTTTCGACATGTCTATCAATGCAAATTACTCAATGGACGCTACGATCTGCAATACAGACCAGACTACGGAGATCTTGGTGATTTAATCTCATCAGGCACACCTGAACGCACTCTCGCACTCGATATTCTCCCCATGTTGACTCTGATGTTCCGATTGGATCGTGAAGATCCGTCAGCGCCCATCAGCGATTCGACTGAACTCGCGTCTCTCCTGGTAAAACGGCGGTTGCGACGATCTGCTAAACGCTATGTGAGGTGGTTCGATGGCATGGTGCCTGAAGAAATTGCCAATGCCTACGGACGAATAGCGTATGGCACAGGACCTGAGAATGGACCGTCGTTTGCAGAGGTGCTGAAGAAGAGGATGCAGGAGGCTCAGGCTCAGTTGGTTTATGAGGTAATGGACGATCAAGAGTGTTAGATTAGCTGTTTTGTTTATATAGAGTGCCAGACAATAGAGCAATTGTAGATACTATTGTATTTGGTTATCTTGACGGACCGTCATGGGTTGATGAAGGGTGATATATATACAAAATAAAATTAAAAAAAGGGCACCTATGCACGTCTAGCTAAAAATATGATGTTTCTCATCATCAAACAGGAGTGGTCGCGGTTGCCGCAACTTATCCTTTTCCTCATCTGTCTTTCTCAAGAGTCTAAACAAACCCGTCCCAATCCCCATGGGCACCCCCATAATAATACACTCTGACACACCATTGATGGCATCCCGTTTCCCATAAAACGCAGCCTCAAAGAGATGATCGGTTGTTTTTTCAAACGAAGCGAGCATGAGGACGCTGTCCTTCATTTTGGCAATACCAAACCGTGTAATGCCCAATACTTCTCCCTATTTTTTGGTCGATTGTCAAATAATGAGAAACTCGTACACACATCCTATTGGCGAAAAATACTTTATACCTTGAACGTCATCAAATCGGCCAACAACATCACATGTCGTCGATCAATGGTCATTCCGTGACTTTTCATCGTATACATGATTTCATAAATAATCGTATACCTAAATATCCACAAACGAAATATGGGTGTCAAATTCGAATTCAAAACTTTGTAATATGAGGACTGAGCATGTTTTTTTCTTACCTAGCAGCTTCAATCCCCAATGTTTGCAAACACTCGAGGGTATGATTCGATTTTGTATTCGTGCCATCGATTCCTTCTGTTGCCATCACATCACGGAGACCGTACCCCTCAACCAATAAATTGAGGCGTTTGTCTTTTTCAGAGTCGTTGATGACGGCTCGATTGACGGTTGTAAAACCCTGAGTACAACAAGTTGAATCAGCAATTGGTAAAAGTAGATGGTGTCAAGATTAGCTGGACGAGAAATTAACAACCATACCTTGATTATGATTCTTGGGAGGGCGCGTTTGAGGGTTTGGAGTGCTTGTAGTGCACCCAGTTGGGAGATTTTGGAACCTAGTGAGATACGGAGGATATCTGGGGGGTCGCATCTGACTTGCTATAAAGTCATCAAGGCAAAAATGAGCCTGCCATTCAGCAAGGTAAAACAAAGACATGTGCGTACCTCGTCCATAATCTTCAACTTTGATCGAACAATGGACCACCGAATTGTGTAAATGTCGACTTCAAGCTGAAGGCGCTTGATAGCCTCATAATCCAACTTGATTTTCAATCCGCATTCATTGGGTGCAATGACTTCCTCAATGTACTCGGTCACCTAAAAGCCCGCATGTATGAATATACTCGGTCCCAGTCACGGCTGAAAGAATTCCCACTCACATCTTCTAATAGCGTTCGTTCAACTCGGCCCTTTACAACCCTCGCGGCAGCCTCTGCTGCAAAGTGAGCCTGTCTTGGATCGCCTCCCGATCCGTAATCTCCACTAATAAGTCGTGCATCGATGATGGGTGTCGAGATGTTTTTGGAGGCGTTGATGATTTCCTTGATACGGGGTACACCCAACGTAACGTTCATACTGGCCACACCAGCAAAATGGAATGTTTTGAGCGTCATTTGAGTACCCGGTTCGCCAATACTTTGGGCGCCAACGGCTCCTACAGCGGTGCCTGGGAGAAAAAAAGGGCGTTATAGTTTGATCGGTGGGCGAAAATTGCAAGGATATGGGGCGGCCTACCTGGCTCGATCATCGCCCTCATATATTTCAAGTAGCAAACATTAAAAAAGGCTTTAAGCTGTTCCCGAGTCAAGGACATTCTCAATCCCTTGGCCATTTCTGCCGGCAAACGAATCAGAATCAGTCTTTTGACAAGAAATAATACGGTTATCGTATACATACCCTCACTTTGCGAAATCCTATACGATTCATTTCTCTCCAATAAAGACGGTAGCCCCCTCTCCTCTCGAACCCGTCCCAATTTCTCAACAACCTCACTACGAATAAACCTGCGCAAAGAGTTCAAGTACTCTCCCGAACAAGCTTTGGTAAACCGCGGGCTAGTCAGCTCGGATTCAGCGAGCTCCATGATTTCCCAGGGGAGTAGTCGGACATGAGCAGAGTTCTTGTGCAAGGCCTATACCGTGTGTTACATTTGCGAAATGACACATACTATTTAGAACAAAATATATAGACACATACCATACAATGAGCAAGATTCCTCGTAAACTCAACGGGTTGATCGGCACCTTCAATGTTGGCCGGATCCAATCCATCATCCCCAAACCGGAATTGAACGACTCCACCCGTCGAATCTCGAACAGACAAGTCATAGTGAGACACCAAATCTTCCATGGCCTGTTATATCCAGTAAGCACAAGCAGCTTTGACGGTGAACGACAAGGGTCGTTACCTTCATAAGTCGACGTTGCATGTAGCCCGTTTCAGCGGTCTTGACAGCAGTATCAACCAACCCTTCACGCCCAGACACAGCATGGAAGAAAAACTCGGAAGGAGTTAACCCGCTGTAGAAACTATTTCTCACGAACCCCTTTGCAGCGGGTGTTTTCGCTAAACGTAAATAAATAAGAAATAGAATTAGTGACATTGCTCCTCGACTCTGATGGTGATAGATATCAAACGTACAATTTTTAGGAAAGTGGGGTAAAGACCGATCAATGAACCCGTTGGGAATTCGACTACCAGAAATAATCTGTTGCCCGACACAAGCCACCATTTGGGACACATTAATCTTTGATCCTGTTCAAAACAATAAACCACAGTTTAAAAGTCAGAATATTTCCTTTCTCTCGCCATGAAACTACATAAGCGGGTCATACCTTTAGATCCACACAGTGACATAATAAGTGGCGCATTGTACTTGTTCAACTCTTGAAAGCAAGATTGTCCAACATCTTCACGAATTTTACTCAGAATACCCGATAGTTTGGCCTACCAGTTCCATTAACCCCGCTCAAATGAAAACCACGAATTACTGGGAAACATACCTCCAACGTCTGCTCCTGGTTACATCCAGGTTGATTCGGTAATCGTCCCTGCTTTGACATGACGATCGTATCCTCACAATCCGCATACCCCTTCTCAACAACCATTTCCTTCTCCTTTGATAGAATAAGACCCGGTTGGACGTCGTCAATTCCGATCGAGAAGCCTTGGTTGGCTATAAAGAGCTCGATGATTGGTCCGCATGTTAAAGGAATTCAAGACAAATACCTACCAAGCCATCGTGCAGACAGTTTTGCAATCCGATTCATGCACTCTCCAGCCGTCTCGGGTCCATAATCTCTCAGCACAGTATAAAACATTGAATTCTTGTTTCCATCTCCAATGATACTCTTATCAACAACACCAGAGATCAACTCGCTATTGTAAATGCGAATGTATCCGTCGTTTGGACAAAAGCTCGAGTCAATCGGGTGACCCGCTCGCGTCTTTTGTTGGCTAAACTTGTTGCCGTATTTATCTTTGAGGTCTTTGCCGAATGTACGGCACTTTGTTTCGAGGTTGACCCATACGTGGGGTTTGGGGCGGAGGAGGACGTTGAAGACTTGTTTCCCCGTCCATAGTTTGGCGGGCTAAGACATGAAAAAGTGTTGGTTACAAAGCAAAGAGGGGAGATGAAACTCATGCAGCGTACCTTGACAATCGCTGGTGGTGGGAGGTCAACAGGCGCTAGTCCATCTGACATATACGAACAAATCAAGGAAAACTGTGCTCGATCATAAAACACATCCTTCCGTGACAAGAGATAGGATGCCGTGATGAAATCCTGGGTAGCAGCAATAAGGGGCTCTCCATTTCGCGGTGTCACTAAATTGTTTTTTGTCTGAATGGGGATATCGCCGTTAGGATATCCATCCATTGCACGCGTCATCAAGGAACGGTACATACTCCCATAAGCTGCATCGCCTCGGCACGCGCCTCCTCCGTCTGCGGCACATGGAGGTTCATCTCGTCACCGTCGAAGTCCGCATTATATGGTGTACATACACACTCGTTGAATCGAAAGGTTCGCCATGGTCGAACTTTGACCTGAAATATTTAAAGTCAATTGACTGCATGCAATGTTAAAACACACTCCCATACGTACAAAATGCGACATGATACTGAGTTTATGTAGAGAAGGTTGTCGATTGAACAGGACCACATCCCCGTCTTGCAAATGACGATCGACAACATCACCAATGTTCAATTGGGCCGCAATCTTTTCTCGATTACCATAGCGCAAAAATCTGCAAAGAGGAATGCAATTCAGTCATTCACGGAAAACAGCGCAGGGACATTCAAAAAGACCGTTCCACCACACACTTTTTCTGGTTCTTGGACTGGGTAATGTACGTCGCACCAGGATGAATATCCGCTCCATTAAGAACATTATTTCGTAGTCGCTCAATATTGTGTCGGGTGACACGTTCTGGGTATGTCAAGATCTTTGCAACCCGTTCTGGAACGGCAACCTACAAGCATAGTTGAGGAAAGTCGCAAAGAAACCAAGGAAACACGTAGTCAACAAAAACCTGATCAATTCGAAGATTGGGATCGGGAGAAATAACAGTTCGTCCTGAGAAATCTACACGTTTGCCAGAGAGATTCCCACGGAACCGACCGTGCTTTCCTTTCAATCGTTGACAAAACCCCTTTTTGATCCTCGGTAGATTCTGGTATGCCATGCAATCGGGTGAGCTATTAATGGAGGACGCTTAAAGGCATGCAGCTGGTACCTACCCCCTGCAAGTGACTAGGAACACCAGGAAGATCGCTCGTGACGTACATGGCACATTGCAATTGCAAATAATCCCAGTATTCCTGAATCATACTTGAATCAACATCACAAGGACAAATGAACAAAGGCAACTATAGCACTCCCACCATGAGCGACTCAGTCTTGTGGCCACTGACAATCAACCCCTTGATCTTTGTGTTAATTTCAATGATCTCGGACAACAATACCGTAAGATCATCCTCGGTGCTGGATTCCATACGATTAATCTTTTGTAGACCATGATCGTACTGGGGTATCGTCCTTACCTGCTGTTTTCCTGCCCGATGGATGGCCGAATACATACTGGTGGCACTGGCAATGCAGTCCATAGGAACAGCTCGGGGCGTCCCCACGAAGAATCCAATCCCAACAATTCACAATCCTACAGAAAAATCCAATAAGCGTCATCTCAAAAAAGAATCGAATGTAACAACTGGCGCAAACCTCGTTTGTAATGCGTTCAAAGAGACGGAGAACAGTCAGTGGATTCAAATCTTGCTGTGCACGAGGAATGTAATGTGCCATGCTCGGATCCATTTTGGCGGCGGTATCAAACGTTTTTCGAAATTCAGCTTCCTCTTCCGTTTTGGATTTCCGTCGAAATTTTTCGTGAATGACTTTGAGAGCTCCCACTTTCTTTACGGTACCTGTTTTTTTTTCGTAAATTTCAGTTTTCGATACCGCTATGAGGATCTGGGATCTTTCAAACCTTGCGGTTTCCGCATGAACGAGAAACGTACCGTTTGTGGCTTCACATCCTGGACACTTTCCCACCTTTTTACACGCGGCACTAATGGCTTTCAAGATCTCCTTTCTCTGCACCCCATCCAAATTCGGATTCCGTAGTCTGCGGATATAAGATCGTCGTGCAGGTTCCTCCAACAATATCCGACTGCACGTCTATCAGAACATTGTAATGAGATTCTATAAACCCTGGTCAAAACAAAACTGGGTTTTCTATTGCATTACCTTGCAAATCTGCTGCAAAACAGACAACATCAACTTGAAATACCCAATATGAAAAACGGGTACGACCAGTCGAACGACACCGAAATGTCCAACACAGTCTTGGAGGCCCAATCCGCATGTCTCACATTTTCCCATCTTGTCTGCCGTACCCTATTGTCATACCACCTTTTCAGAATCTCATTCCATTTGACACATGACATGTAGGACGTGAACTCACCAGCCGGTCATCCAAGACTCCAAATTTAACAGAGGGCCGATTGGGTTGCGTCACATCATACAAATCCCTCTCGTAGAGTTCTAGTACACTTAGTCGTTTGGCATCTTGACACGAAAAGGCTCCA